ATGCCAGCAATAAAACAACAAATGAATACAGTGGGTTGATTGTTGTCTGATAAGAATGATTGAAATGAATGGGATCACGCTTAATGTGGCTTAACAGAAGTGTAATGCCCGGGTCACTGTCTGCGTGTCCATGGCAGACCTTTTTATATTGGCGCCCATGTTAACAGCTTAGAGCAAAAGAAAATTAAAAAAATAAAACATGTTTGGAGTTCAACAAAAGGCACGTGGGAGACTCCATTAGGCCCCTCTTTTGACATTTACTTTTTATTGAATTTAAAGCTGAACAAATCATTATTTCTACATTAACAATGGATCAAATGACCTTTTGTGACGTCGCCTGAGAGACTCCACAGACACTCATCTGGCTGTATAGTTTTCCTCATTTCAGACTATTTGTTTTGGTTTTATAACCTTGCAACTTTCATGTTTTGGTTGCGTCTCACAGCTCTCATTAACATTGGTTTCAGCCACATGAAGGAGCAGTTTTCTGAACAGAAAAATCCCAAAATCTGACAGAAGTCTATAGCTGCTCAGCACCAAATGACAGATGTTTATTTCACGTGTTCTCTGATTGTTCTGTTAACTCCAAGTGGCCAATAAAATCAGTTATAGCTGCTTTAAAGACACCGTTACATTCACCTTTTTTTTTTTTTTTTTTTTACACAAAGTACTACCTTCAAAGTTTACACCTGAGGGTGCTTAGATATATTTATATATATATATATATATATATATATATATATATGCGCTCCCATGCGGGCCCTGTCTTGCTGTGTTTAATGGAGTGAAGAACCTGACAGACGGAGTGCTCAGAGGCTTTGAGCTTTACTTCCAGACAGGTTTGGTCTCCGGGAGGAAGCAGAGGTCAGGAAGGCCAGAGTTGACATTCCGGAGTCCCTCGCTGAGAGTTTATGAAATGCAGAACGTAACGGCAACATCAGGAAATGTGCTGGAATTGTGATTCAAACAGACAATTATATTGCAAAATATTTGTTTTCTCAACAGTAAATGAGATTTAAACACATCTGAATAATGAACACACGGGTATGTGATCCGTTTGAATATATATATATATAATCTTGGCACAGACACACCAACCTGAACGAGCCAAGAGGAACTCACGTTTCACAATAATTCAAAAATCACACAATGTGTTGAAATATGGGGACATGAAGTGTGCTTTCGATACGCCTAATTAGCCAATGTACCCCATTGCCGTTCTCCAGAGGGAACAGTTGGACTCATAATGAATGACGGCTATAATAACGTGCACATATCTACTCATGAATCCCTTTTAGCTCGGGTAATGGCTTCGGTGGTATCTTAGCAACAAACACAGAGAGCGTGTGAGAGATCTCTGTACGATGATAATAAGTGTAATATGATGGAGACAATGATATTAAACACACTCCTTCCTTAGAGGATCAGAACATCTGTCTCTGCCGCCTCATGACATGTGAGCAGAGTGTCGGATGACATAAGACATCTCACTTTGTGAGTGTACTATTAGCATTAATGGTCTAAAGTGACTGCACTGCATCTCTCCTTGTGGAAAGTGAGATTGTTTATATTCAACTGAACAGTCTCACTGGGATAAATGACATTTTATTGTGGACATCAACAGCAAATGATTGGCAGTGTTTTTGCCGGGGCAGCCTGCATCTGTGTCATCCAAACTAAATGACTGAACGATTCTCTCTTTTATTTTTATTAAACTTTAAAAGTACAAGCTGGTTCAACATCTTCAGAGAGGGTTAAGTAATAGTTCTATAGAGTATTTATTCTGTATACTTTTCCTAAATTTGACCCTTAAAACGCAAACGTGCCCGTGACTGGAAAACAGATTCCTCTTCATTTGACAAAAACAACCTCCGCAAAAAACGTTGCAGCTCTTCTGGAGCTTTCGATCACACCACCAGATCTTCATCAGCAGATGGAGGAAGATGTCATGAAGATCCTCAGACCAGCTACCAAATGAGACCGAGGGTGCTTTGTCAACGGCTGTCTCCATAGAAAAAGGTAACAAATCATATTTACCTCATCGATGTGGAACTTTGACAGAATGTTGAATTGTATATTTCATGATTGAATTGATTTGCTCATTTGTTTCAAACAAATGCTTCACTGTAGTTCCTTTAATGATCCGAGCACGTATCCAAACATCTGCACATTTAACTAACTACTGTAACTGATTCACAAGCATTGATCAAAGTGTGAGATGAATGATTCATGGCTGATTCATTTATGACAGTAAGTATTAAACAGACTGCACCATCGCTGCTCTTCAGTCAAAACTATCCATGACTCTGAAGTCTGCATTTTACACACACACACACACACTTAAGTAAAAGCACTTCTCTCGTACATTTTTTTTCCCACCCTTACTCTTCTTGTTTTGCATGAGTGTCTGTGATTGGCTGCTGCAAGCTCAGGGAGCGGGAGATGCTGCCCTCTCCTGATTGGCTGAGAGCAGAAGGGGGCAGGTGATGTGTGAACATAAATAAAAAAGTGCAGCCCTGACAGGCACACTCGCATGCACCTGCTATCATCATCATCCTCAACAGGAACTGCATCCAGCTCCATCACTGACATCAGAACAGGTCTCCGCCAAGGATCCACAGGAAGACCTCATCATGTCTTTTGAGGTGAAGGAGAAGACAGAGGTGCGTCTCGTGTTTTTGGGAGCGGCTGGAGTTGGGAAGACGGCGCTCATCCAACGCTTCCTCAAAGACACTTTTGAGCCCAAGCACCGGCGCACAGTGGAGGAGCTCCACAGGAAGGAGTACGAGGTGGCGGGTGTCAAAGTCACCATCAACATCATGGACACCAGCGGCAGCTACTCCTTCCCCGCCATGCGCAAGCTCTCCATCCAGAGCAGCGACGCCTTCGCGCTGGTGTACGCCGTGGACGACCCCGAATCCCTGGAAGCGGTCAAGAGTCTGCGACACGAGATCCTGGAGGTCAAAGAGGACAAGTACACGCCTATCGTGGTGATCGGCAACAAGATAGACCGCCACAACGAGCGCCAGGTGTTCAGCAAGGACGTGCTGTCCACGGTGGAGCTGGACTGGAACCACAGCTTCCTGGAGTCCTCCGCCAAAGACAACATCAACGTGCTGGAGGCTTTCAGAGAGCTGCTGCTGCAGGCCAACCTGCCCAGTCGGTTCAGCCCGGCACTGTGCCGGAGACGGGAAACCATCCCCAAGGAGAGCGGCAAACGACCTCCTTTAAACAAGAACGAGAGCTGCCTCATTGCATAGAGACGAGGAGGCAACGACGCCTGAAGAGACGGAGAGAAAACCGCCCAAAGGAGACCGAGAGGGCTTTGTTGGTGGGGAGATACCTACCCAGAGACAGTGTTGACACTCTGAAACACTGAGGTCTGTTAACTATGCATCAGGCTTGAAAGCTTGGCATGAAAACCCGCAAAACCACTGGAGGCATCAAGATGCTGCAGTGAGGACGGGCACGTAACCATGAAAGCAGATACCACCGAACAGACGTGACAGAAGTAGTTGAACAACCGTTTGAATAATGAGAATGTCTGACATGACGCTCAGTTTTCACTCAGATGTACGTCAGGTTTCATCTTCAAGTGTTTGCGTTGTTGGTGTTAAAAATGTGCAATAACTGTGAAGTGATGGGTATTTATGCAAAAGTGTATTTACATAAGACAGAACGCTTCATATTGTGAAAGCACATCAAACATTATGTTGTGAATTATTATTTGAATACATACTTGCTGGCGTTATATGTCTGACTAATAAATATTGGTTTTGTAGTGGGAGAATTTAAATGGTATTTCCTTTTCACAATAAAAGCACAAAGACCAAGGGGATAGTTGATATATTATTCAGTGCTTATGTCAAGTTAAATAAATAAAAAAAACATTGCCAATACCTCCAGTCACATTGATGTTATTTCACTTTGCTTTTGCAGGTTAGTTTTTTTCTGAGCAGCCAAAAAGGAAGTGTGTGTGTGTGGGGGGGGGGGCATATAGACATTGGGAAATGATTGAGGTATGTTCTAGAGTAAGTTCACAGCCCACACTGAAAGGTAATGAAAGTAAAACAAAGCTCAAATAAAGACAGTTTGGATCGAAGGACTTTTAAATTGTTTTGTGCAGACACTTGTATAATAAGTAATTCTGCCACAGCATATCTGTTCTTTAAATGGCGTGTTCGATGGCTGTAATTCTACTACACGTTGCAGAGTGACGATACTTATCTTGATAACAGAGCTGGTCCGACCAGAAGTGTAAGTTTTAAAAAGTATAAAAGCAGGAAATGCTGCAACACTTGACCAGCCTGTCTGTATTTAAAGTGATCGGTGTTGGTTGTAATGCATGTACCAAATAAATCCCCTGAAAGCAGTGTTTAAAATAAGTGGTTAATATCCTGGTGAAATAAAGTCAATTATGGATTTATTGTATTGGTCCAACACATGGCTCTGTGCTGCGACGCCCCCCGGTGGTCAATATTTACAAACAAAGCAGGCATTTGATGAATGTTCTCCATGCGTCAATATGAGGAAGCGGGTCCTTTCAAATAATATGACAAAACAAATAACAGAACCAAGAGAACTATTATGCTTCCTCCACTTCAGTCTGCAGTGACTGCTAGAATACACGAGAGTTAAAACATGATTCATGTAACTCTACAGTCACTTAAAGCACTACTGAAAATGCTGTTTTTTTACTTGAAAACATACAATTTAAAGTACTTTGAGTTTATAAAAACAACATACTCTCTACCTGCCATAAAACATGGTTGAATGGATCAGTATATTCTGTTAATGACATATCGATGTTCTCTTAAGAGCCCTTAAGTGCTGGTAACATTTCCAGGCTGTTAAAAAGCCACAGAGGCCCAGAAAGGGAGACAAAATAAAAGGTATGCTTCCTCTTTCCAAAAGTGTCCAGATACAAGGTGCATTGTTTCTACCGAATCAGAAAAGGAAGTGACCTGTGATTATCAGATCTCTGCTTCCTCTTTGTTTAAACTGCCGTCGTCGGTCGGTCCACAGCAGAACACAAACCGGTCGCTTCGGAACACGGACGGACGCGGAGAGGCACACCGTCTTCTTAAAGCTCAGGTGAGAACTCAACTTTCCATTCAGCATAGACCGGCTGTAGGGAATGAAAACCATTCCAATAACTCATGTGATGAAGAAACGTAGACAACAGATTAGTTTCAGAGACCGACTGAAGCAGAATTTGGAATTACTGCCATAAATGAGTGTTTCCGGGTTCGTCTCTGCTCCTAGACTTGGTCAAAGCTCCTCAGTGTTGTTCAGGTACCTGAGAAGTTCTGAACAAGTATAAGATCTCTGACCATCTCTACATCTGGTGCTTTGATTTACGTCGATGTACTGTAGCACTGAATGTCTAACTCAAAGATAGGCTTCTCATATACCTATACAGTGTTTTACATGTTGAGTTACATTTGACTCTTATTACCTTTTCAGCTGTGCTCAATTATCTGCAGATAACCGTCTACATTAAGACTGCTTAAAACAATAAGGTTAGCAAATTAAAATGTGATTCAGAGCATCCAACATAAAGAGGAAAAGCTAATTTTTCTGCACTGAAATAAAACATTTAGTCTATGAATCTTTCTGAAATCTTAAAATTTCTGATCAAAATCAATATTTGATAGAAATAGGATTAAATAGTCTAAGATTTAGATGTCTTCCGTCACATTAATGCAACAATTTAATATGTTCTTTGAAGAAAAGATCCCTATTCCAAACTCCAGCCTAATAACATCCGACTTTAAAGCAATAAGTAGCAAACAGTCTAAACATGTCGTGCTTTTTATATAAGGTTCCTTATTTGTCAGAGACGAGGCACAGCAAGAGGCAGCGGTTTTATTTTGATGCACAGACAAAACGCCGTCGAGCTACACAGAGAGGTGAGAGCGTCTAAAATCATACGTCCTCAACATCACAGACAAGCAAACACAGAGAAGACGTGATGAAGTACACCAACGACGGGGAACATTTCAGACTGCACAGCAACAGCATGTGATACCGACAACCTCCAACACAACACCAGCGCGAGCATCGAGCTCTCAAACAGCCCTCAGGAGAAATCCAGTGTCCACAACTAAAATATACGGTAAAAAGCAAAGGCAACAGTTCTGCTGAATAGAAGACAGACGTTTTAGAATCGGAACAAACACACAGAAGAAGAAATAATGGTGCACTGGCTTATTAATAAGTACATCTCCCTGAGCAAAAGGCTGCATCAGTATAGAAACACACCAACTTCATCTTAAGCATCACTTTGACATTTACTAAGAGATGTTTTTATGTAGATAATCAACACCACACTGAGGGTGAGTGCCAATTTACTAAAAACATATCATTCACTTTATTGTTGGACAATTTGTCTGGTACGTTCAAGTGCTGGTGACACACTCGGGTTTCAAGAATTCAATGCTGGTTACTGTAATGCACTTAATACACGAGCAATACAAATCTCAAAATGAAGAATTCTCAGATTGAGAACTTGGCTGCTTCTTGCATTTAGAAAAGGTCATGTACTGTGGATTACTGCCGCTAACCTCCAGCCGGGAGAATTAAGTTTAAAGTACACAAGCAGCCTTTCAGTCACATCAGCAGATAACGAGAGCACTGCGATGATGAGGAAGACCCAGCCGGAGGTTCACTCAAGCACTTAAATGAAGGAAATCCTCCTTAAAAAACACAAACTAAAGAAATACACGAAGAAACCCGGCAGTGATGTTTAGTATTCGTGGTTTGTAGTTAATTGGCTATAACGAGGGGTGTCCTTTTGGCTTTTTATGTGTCACAGTTTACACCATCAGCCCTTAAATGAGCACTATGTTAGAATAGCTCTGTTCAGTCAGCTGCTAGAGAGAGATTATTAAAGGGTCAGTCCATCCAAATAAGGAAATAATCGTAATAATACAAATCAAACAGTGCTACAGTATACGTTACCCATGTTTCTTCATCTGTGGTGTTTAAATCTTTTAACTAGTCACCTTTACAGAAATGTTAAAGTTACATCACTGTGAACATTGTAGATTATATCCAGTGTCAATTATTTTCAAACAAAGCATATTGATCATTTGAGCCTCATAAATTAAATGACATTAAACTCAACTGTACTCAGTTAACAGCAGGAAGCACAGACGCAGCAATAAACCAAAACTCTCCTCGGAGATAACTCTCAGAGGAAATAGGAGAATATATTTTGCTGAACTGACCCCCTAATATACATAATATAAAACGATGATTCATTCATTTCTACAGATGTTGAGAACCTTGTTGCGTCGTATCGGACATTCTACCAAACATTCCCACAAGTGGTGCAAAGACAGCTGCGTTATTTGGGCACCAATGAGCCGGAGTTTGTCCAACATTGTATTTGAGGTTGGAAACAACACACCACCGTTAAACGCAAAGACATCACAGAGCAGCCGGATCATGAGTGCAGGCAGGAGCCTTTTAGAATGGTTGGTAGAGCATATAGTCCTGTTACTAGAGACATCTTTCTCTCAGTCATTAGTTATGAGGTACCGCAGTGCATGACTAAGCAACTTTTATGTAAATACAAATCTTTTGTTCAAGTTGGAAAAGCAGCGAGAGCAGCGGGCCGAGGAGCGGCTTCGAAATACGACAGAATGCATCAAAAGGTGAAAGTCATTCGTTTGCTTCTTTATCATCTTTTCTCAAAAAGAACAAGATTTCTCATTCTCATTTCTCAACACATGTTGACACCTTTAGCTTAAATAACTTTGGGTAATTCTTAACATTTGAACTTCCTTCAATGAATTGGGAAACATGTAATCCTGACACAAAACACGTTAGCATATTTATCTTCACAGCACCCGTCTTCAGTCATCGTCTCACCCACCTCGCCCTCTCTCCGACTCGCTCTAATCGTCCACCGTGATGTTGCGGAACAAGTAAGCCATGGACTCTCCGTTGTGGATGCGGCGGATGGCCTCGGCCAGTATCATGCTCACATCCACAGTCTTGATCTTGGGACACTGTAGCTTCTGTACTTCATGGGGCACCGTGTTGGTCACCACCACCTGAGGGTTGAATGATCACAGAGAGTTGAGACGCTGTTCAATCAAACTAAAAAGCAGTTTAGCGGTGCAGTTTATTGTCGGGCTGAACAGGTTTTTTTTTCTTTTTTTCTTCCCTTCTTTTTTTAAAATGGCATAGTGACACCAGGATTCAAGTCATGAGGAAACTCAAGACACTATTGTTTAAAAACAACACTTGCGTAGTCATTTATTTCCTCCTTCACCTGTGAACTCTTAGTGTGCACGTGGCTTACATCATTTAAATAGAGAGATAAACTGAGGACATTTTACAACTTTTGACTCCAGCAAGCAAAGAAAGTTTGACTAACGATTGTTTTCTGAACACTGGATAGTTTGTAGGAAGTGAAAATTGACACTAAAAGTTTACAGAAATACAACTGCAATACAATGATCCTCTAGTAAAAGTTAATGCAGCTGAGAACTCCATCAGGAGGAAGTATCATCTTTTACATTGTGTTGATAAAGAATGAGCGCTGAAGGGGAACAGTCTCACCCGTTACCTCTCTAGCTTCCATGTTGATCATGTACAGTATGAATCAGAAGAACTACTTGTACTGATTAAACAGTTTGAGGCGTCCTTACCTCATCGATGGCCGACTCCTCGATGAGGCGTGGAGCATCAGCAGACAGTAAGCCATGTGTGGCCATGATGTAAATCTTATAGGCTCCTCTCTCTTTCAGGATCTCAGCAGCGGCAACAAAGTCCCCGACATCATCTATGATGTCGTCCTGGAAGAAGAAAAGGAAAGATGTCGTGGTGTCTCTGATCAGTGGGCTGACCTACAGTACCATGACGTAGAGGATGGTGGCAGGAACTTATGAACAACACTATTTATAGTGGCCATAAATAAGAGTTATGGGATAACAGGAAATGCCAAAACATCAAGTCAGTGTGTTGACTCAGTGTTGTCAGTTATACATGAAAATTCATCGTTAGCCACCATCAGCTGGAAAACAGCAGCAAAGCACCTGTTTTCACTGAATCGAGCATCTGTATGTTTTATTGCCTGTGAATTAAAATGCCATAAATGAGAATTATAAAAAGTTATAATCACAGCATCTCACCACGATGATGGCGATCCTCCCCCCCACGTCTCCGACTACAGTGATGGGAGGCTTCTCCTTGGCCATCATTACTGAAAAGGAAAGCAGAGCGGTTACCTGCCAGAGCACTTTGGGAAGCTCACGAGTGCCACGTTTCATCTTGTTGAAGATAGATCTCAGTAGATTGGGTAAATTGGGTTGAGAAAAGAGTTTTGCGATTTAGGCAAAAACTGCACCCTGAATTATGCAAATGATTTGTAGAATTTACATTAGATTAACACATTGCTGTAAATAAATTAAAAATGGCAAACAATTTCGATTATTTCCCCCCATTGTACCCCACCTCCCCCCCCCCCCCCCTAAGAGGGTAAGAGACTGAAATGCCAAACTTAGTACAGCACATGCCATGCAAACTCAAATGACCGGGTTTTCTGCCCAGAATACCCAATCAGAGGGCAATGCACAACTGCCTGAACACACATACACACACACACACACACACACACAACCTCAGGCCGTGGCAGGCATATGGCAGCAGTGTGCATATGGACCAGACAGTCTTATTTCACACAAGATAACAGTGGCTGACAAGCACTGATGAGGGTTTCTGAAGAAACACTTGGCAATGTTCTGGGGTCAGTCCTCAGTCGAACATCGCTGCTGGCAGCAACTACTTTTACATGCACACAATACTCCGCCAAACAAGCTATGACTCCATTATTCATATCATCTTCATTCATTAGTCATGCGAGTACTTGTGAGCCAGGTGGCTGTCCACCATCATAATGCAGGGCGTATAAACATCAATCCTATCCGACCCCAAACGTTACTTTGATTTTAACGAGCTGTAAACACTCTGGTGTCCTGGAAGTTTAGTTGCTGATGAAAAAGACCATGCAACGTTTCCTTTTGCTAGAGGCACATCAACGGTCACAACTAGAGACATTAAAACATGTTGAAGACAACATGAACAGTCTCCACCTTGTGACAGACTCAATAATGTGTGCATTTACCCTACAACTAAAATAAATGGCTCTACACACGCATATTTAAATGACCGCTTAAACACTTCTTTGGAACACATAATGTGATGCTTCTAGAAGCATCAGCAAAGGACATTTTGTTGTGCATGTAAACGTAGTTATTCAAAGGGTAGAAGGAAACAATCAACTGGTAAACAATCAGCCAGTTGAGCCGATTGTGAAGGAGAAAGTATAGAGAAGCAGAGACAGGAGGAGCATGCCTTGCACAACACCGGGAGTCCCACAGCATCAGAGAACCTAGCAGTGTCACATTCACACGCTCTAGTCACCAGAAACAACAAAAGCCATGTTGTTAGCAGTGCACACACACACACACTAAAAACATCATCTGGTTTTTACAGCTTGCTGAGAAATGTTTGGTCAGATATCATGAAATTAGTTTCATCAACATTACCACCAATAGATTTAAATAGCTTAAATGATGTCATCAGCAAATTTCAACAACAAGTTAAGAATGCGATGTTATTGTAATAAATATTATCAGTGAAGTAGCAATATAAAACTTTGATTTGACTTTAATTCAATGCTTAAACATTCCAACAATCCCATTGGTTACGTTTCTGCTTGCCACCATTAGCTGTTAGCTTTCATTAGCATGCTTTGTTGTTCTCATCACATGCAGTTAGGATCAACAGTTAACCAGCTGTTTGACACTGGGCTTCATACGGGGGCACCATGTGTTGATTGGCAAAGATGAGTCCAGATATTTAAGGAAAATAAAAAAATAAAAAATAAATAAAAAAAAGTCTGTTTTGATTCATGGATTTCAAAATAAAATCAGAACACAAAACAAAGAGGCGTTTGGCCCATCTTGTAGAACGACTGTCTGGACTCTTAGAAGGTGCAGTGAACATGTGAGTCAGCATGCCATGCAGCGAGCAGAGAGCGTGGAGCACACTGTACAGCTGCTGATTGAAAAGGTTTCGTCAATGCAAACTGTCTGCGCACTAAACAATCAAGTCTGTGCACTTTTTCACCAACACCCCCTTCAAGAATGCAGACTGGAATTCCACAAGATGCAACACAAACCCTTCTACACATGCACCAACTGAGGAACCATTTGAAGAGGAGTCATTTCATAGATGTAAGTTATGTTTACGGTCGTACTTGGGAGCTCTATGCCGGGGAACGGAGCTTGTTGTTTGCCTGCTATTACCAACAAATAAACACCACGTTAACACAAAAAAAAAAAATGCACAAATATTTCACATGACAAACACATGAGGCCAAGACTTGGAAAATCCTCTGACTAGTTTTGACGGAAAGTTTAAATGTTTCACGGCAACAAAAATCAGACTCGTTATGTTTAAACTTATGCCTTTTCAATTAATTAAAGAGCAAGTCATTGTTCCATCGGAGGATGTTTTAAGTCAAGGGTGAGAATAGAAACACAAGAAATATTTTCACTGAATAATTAAATGAACACAAATACGTCGGAGTCATTTGCCAATGACACAATCACTGGATATCTTCTCAGACTGAACCATTGAACCGGCCTTACCAGGAATTAACACTGCACACATGTTGAAAGCTATGAGCCAGAGTCACGCTAGTATTTCTCACCAAAGATAAATAACGGCATGTGCCAACAAATGGGCATGGACTAGGATTCTAGGATTTTTAAGCACGTCACTCTCTGCAAGTTAGGAGTTGCAGCTGGCGGAGGATGCAGCATGAGTAGATGTGGCATATTGTTGGAATTAAAAACGTGCAGTGGCACAGGAAATCAAGTTCTTGGGAGGATGAGTGAGAAACGGCAGAATCGTCAGCTCGACACAGGTTAGCACAAACAAAAGCTGTATCGGGTTGTCGGCAGGATATGTATTATGAATGCAGTGAAGCTTCGTACACTAGCAGAAATAATTAGAAATGTCTGGCTGAGTTTGAGCATGGTGTGACAAAGAAAAAGGAATCTGTGAGAAACAATTAACAGGGATATGTTTATCTATCAACCTATAAATCTGCAACAAAAATAAATACAATAATAGAAACAGAATGCGAGTTGTTGTTCTTACGAGGAAGCTCCAGTCCGGTGTGTCCTGTGGTGTTGCGTACACACGGTGGCGAGTGTCTTCCATCGGCCATGTCCGACTCTGAACACTGAGCCTCGCCGTGAATCACAGCCAGACCCAAACGCAGGCGCTCTGCATAGGACTGAGCCCTGGAGACAAAAAACAGAGAAAACATGCCTATTCACACATATTTAGTCACATAAATAGCAAATTATATACTAAAAAAAGTCATAGGCTACCTCTTAGCTGCTGACGGGGACTTTGCCACGATGATGGCATTTCTGTAATCAGGAATCTGACGGGACAAAGAAAAGAACAGTGTTTATATGAGACTGATTGGGCCAATAGGTGGGGTTACCAACGCCTACACTCAAACACACACATTAGACAACCCAACGGGCTGCTCACCTCTTCTTGGATGTACTGAATCAAGAAAGGGGAGGCACGCAAGTTGTCCACTGGAAAGCTGAAGAAGCCCTGGATTTCCTTCTGGTGCAAGTCCATGGTGATGATGTGCGTTAGTCCTTTTGGGGAAGAAGACAGATTAACGGTCGTCCTCCCAATTAACAAGCTATTTCACCGTCAACAATGAGATCAATGTTCCGAGTGAACAAATCAAATAAATCCCTGCAAACACAACACCACTGATGAAGAGAAGGCACACAAATCACAGGTTGACGTTCATGTCGTTCTCCTTACCTGCTTTCGCTAACATTGACGCTAACAACTTGCTGACTATCGAGCCCCTCTTCCTCATCTTGCACTGTTTGCTGTAGGGAAAGTAAGGAATGACCCCGATGATGTTCTTTGCACAAGACGTCTTGAGGGCGTAGGCCATAATTAGCAGCTCCATGATGGCCGTGTTGACATCTCTGGAAAAAAAATAATAAAACATTTAGACTTTAGCTAGTGACTGCATAAAAACCTTGACACACTTGCAGATGTGGTGATTTGTGGAGAAGTCAGACATTGAACTCACCGCGGTATGGTCTGGATGATGAAGATAGTTTGTCCTCGAACGGATTCTTTCACATCCACTCTAGTTTCTGTTGTGATGGAAAGAATTAAGTCGCAATCAGTTACTGGATCGGGGCTTTGCTCGTCATGTTGAGCAGTTATTTATCAAACCTGATGAGAGCTTTATTTCATAATGAGCTGATAGAACGATTGAAGGAAGATATATGCAAATCCAAATTTAAAATGATATGGCCTGATAATAAATGGACTCGGTGCATTTTCCTGATGCTACATCTTCACCTCAAAAATAACTCTAAACTTCCATAACATGCTCAAACATTCAATAGTCATCCCGGGCCAACATCTTTAAAAACATCAAAGTGAACATGTATGTTAACCGTTTGCTCCCCTCACCTCTGTTGGACTCCTGGAAGACCACCGACTTTCCCAGTTCGACTCCCAACCGCCTGTGAAGCACGAGCACACATTTACAGACAGAATGTAGCCAATTGTGGAAAGTAATGATTCATTCATTCGTTCATGCAGACACTAGCTAAAATTAGCGGTCAGTAGCGTTAGAATAAAATGTCAGAAATGTTCAGTTGTGCTTACTCCGTTATCTTCTTGGCCAATTCTGTGCACGCTACAGAAGAGTTTGCGGAAAAGACGCGATAACCACTTTTAGCGATATTCATTCTGGCACTGCTGGTGGTTTGTTTCACAGACAGACAGCCAAAAGCGGCAGCTTTAATCAATGCGCCACCACGTTTGTTTCCCACTTTCTTTCTTATGACGTTGTCTTGAGCTAACTAGCCAGCTAGCTACCGCACAATAGCCTGCTAAGTGAGCTAATTACACAAAATAACCTTCAATGTGTGACATAAACTTAAGCTACAGCGCAGCTACAAAATCTATTTTAATCGCGGTCTTTCTTCAACCAATTTGTCCGATTGTTTGCGGACAAACGGCTGATACTGTTAGTTGGTAGCTAGCACCAGAGCCGTCTAATGAGAGTCACGTCTTCTTCTTCTTATTCAATTTAACGGCAGACTACAAACCAACGTTTAACGGTGCATGCCGCCACCTACTGTCCCAGGTGTAACAACATGGCGTTATGACAGTTTTGTCATTTAAAGACTATTAGATCATAATAAAGAGTATTATTATTGTTATTATTATCATGACTGTTGTTGTTGTTGTTGTTGTTTTTGCTATTAATAATTATGATAATAATGGAGGCATGGGGCTCCTAACCACACCAGTACCAGGGACAGTATCTCTGAGTCTACCAGTCTCGCCAGAGGACAGGCTGTCTTCAACTTTGACTTATTTTTGCAACCACAGGAGTAGCCCTCCTCATCCTCATCTGAAAATGCTTAAAGTCGAACTGTGTAGCACACTGAAACATGTTATTTCATATTTCTTGCTGATTTAATACCAATGTGTCCATGTAAGATCATTTTCTTTAATGTGTTTAAGTTCATGTTTGTCTTATTTCAAATGTTAAAAACATTACATAAACTGATGAACGACAACGATTGAGGTGGCTTTTTACAGCAAAGCCCAAAATCAACCTGATATAGCACTCTGTTGTGGTGCTTTTAAGCCATAGCGTTAATGTCCAAACACATCTATGGCTCTCCTTTGTGGCTCTGAGGTGCAAAGCATTGGAAATAAACCCACCTCTTCCCCAGTGACACACAGCTGTACACATTTTTCATTGTCAATTTGTGTGTCAAAATGTAGTATCCTGCATTAACATGATAAATGCCTGAGCTACTTATTGGAAACATTTTAAAGTGCCTCAAAATCAGTGAGCTTCTTGTGGATGGCTGTCTATGTATCTGCTTGCTGTCAATGATGCCATCCTTAGGCTACACAGGGCTTATATGTGTGAAACAATAGCTGGAGCAGTATTGTCTCTGCAGCACCACAGCAGCCCATCTGAGTTGCACTAAAAAAACAAAACACCATGGCATTACAAATAAATACAAAACAAAATGGCAAGAAGCATTTGACGTTCTGTAGGTCTGGATCGCAGACAAAGACAAGGGGAGTAAAATAAAGTGAAAGGTTTATTGTGGGGATAATGCGTGAAGAGGTTGAGATGGAGCTCTCTCATCCACCACCACGTTGTTTCCACAAGCACAGCACAAATGTTTGACTACAAGATTAATTTTTTTTACCAACAAGCTAAAACAAAAGCTGTCTGTCTGTAAACTGTTTATCTTAGTTTGTTCTTGTAAACTTCTCTGCTGGCTGAGACAAAGCAGCCAGGAGGACAGAGGACAGGAGCATTTACATGATATCTCTGTGTTCTTCATCATTGATTAAAACTTCACTCAGGAATGTTGTTTATTTTATTGACATTTCAAATTTGTTGTCAGTGAGGTATTAATGACATTGTATAGTCACATTGCACAATTGTAAACATTACTGTTGCTGCTCTAGAACCAATATTCAGTATATTTACTTTAGTTTATCTAAACCATAACTAACTTCTAAATCTGTTCTGAATTGAATTGTTTAAAAAAATACAATAATAATAATAATAATACATTTTATTTAAATAGCGCTTTTCATAATACTCAAAGACACTTTACATTAAAATCATCATATATAAAAGCAAATACACTAAAAACATAAAATACACAATAATGGTCACATAGAAGCAATTATTTAGTCGTGATAAAGAACAGTAGAGAACAAGATTGATTAGTGTACCTCATTTTAAATATAAAATCCTAAAGATACCTATCCCTACCAGAGGGCCACCGTAGTTCTCCGACATGTTTGGAAACATGTGGGGTGAACGGAGGGGTAGGTTACTTGCAATCTGAATTTGAACTTCTGTTGACGCGACTCTCTCTTTACACGGCTTTGGATGGGTTTAGGTGAGGAGGAGTAGGTGAAACGTACACGTGCACAAGAACAAGGCAAGTACGAGCCCGCCCACAGAGCTCGGTCACGTCTGCAACGTGCGTTGGATTGGAAATCAGTAAACAGGTGACGTCAGAGCTGCGTGAAATTAGCCTGCCAAGTAAACCGGATAGGAGCAGACTTAAAATAAAATAAAATAATCACATTATACAATCAGTACATTTGATGTTTAACTGCGTCTGAATGTTTGATTGTCACTGAACAAAACGGAGACATTGAACGAAAAATAAATATTCATACATAGATTGTGTTGAGTGTGAATCCTCTGTAATATTTAGGGCATTTAAATGATAATGTTTGGTAACACTTTATTTTACGGTTCTCTACAATGTTCCATACTATTTAGTAGCAAACATTTTGGAAATAAGGTTGTATGGAAAAAAGGTTGTATTTTTTTAATGCTCAATTTAAGCCCCTTTAAAAAAATTAAAAAACAACATTGAATTGTGTGCTTGTCTGTAGACTTATTTCACATGTTCATGATCAGCTGACCTACTGTGCTCTGACTAATAGACTATAATCTAGATTATGACTGTCACTGCCTGTAATTAATCGTAACAACTGTTTACATTTTTGCCAATTATTAAACTACATAATTATTTCCTGAAAACTTTTGGGGAAATAAATCAGAAATTACAGACCCATTACATAATGTTTTTGTATATGCCTGCTGAGAGCAGAATACCTCATATTTGACTGTCCTTTTAGGAATAAAACAAAGATTTTCCTCATAGAACTTTTTCTTTGACACGGCTTTTATTTTGAAACTCTTAGCCGGAATAGCCGTTGCTAATCCTTGCTAGTTTGCTGTTGGTGTAGAGCCTAGCTAGGGGAGAGAAACCGTGGGGGAATGTAGAATACCTATGGCAATAAAGAAGTAAAGTTTAGGATTGATAAACATCTGGAAACGTGGATGAAAGTAACCGATCAGGTAGGTGAACGGCTGACCTCGTTTCTGTCATTTATACTTGCGCGTGTCGGCTCCTGCTAAAGCCTGAAAAATGGAGGTGAAATGTGGTTCTGTCATGAGGAGGCTGCACACAACACTGAACAAACAACAAGATCAACAACAACAGCTGCAGCGGCCGACAGTAGCAGGAAAAAGTCCGCAGCACGCAGACTAAAACAAAGACAGAAACCACTGCACAGATACATGGGTAAAGGGGATCGATAGAGAGCAGGGTCATTATAAAGCGACAGCAGCTAACGGTACAGTAGCATTAGTTAGCACAGATTGGTGTAAAGCAGCTTGTGGAGGTGGTTAAGGCTGCGACAGTCTTGACAGATTAGTTTTAGAAGGTTGTTTAAATGTGCAATCCCTCAAATCATGCATTTATAAATATATGTATTGCTATTTAAAATTGTACAGCTAACCTTGGTTTTGTTCATTTATTTTGTTTGTGCAGGTATCACCAGCAACATCTCTTCTCTCCCCTGGCTCTCCAGCGTGTAAGGAATATATCATATCTGTAGTCACCCAGTGCCTCTCTATTTTGCCCTTCATCTTCACCAGTGCTAAAGCTAACACCAGCAGGACAGGAGAAAGACAAGTTAAGGGATTTTTTTTCAACATTTTGAGGAAAGTGAAATCCACTGCAGCTACCAAAGTTACCTGTTAATACTGTATTAAGTTCAGTGGCCCCGAAATCCAACCTCATCCAAGCTTCTGATAAGTTTAAACCTCAACTTTTCATCAGCATTACTCAGTTCTCTCATCAGGTCATATTAGAAAACTGTAAACACTACTTTGCACAATTATGGCCTCCATCACCCAGTCATCCGAGCCTGACATCCCAGACAACCACAAAGAGAGCTGGCTGGCACTACTTTCTGCTGCGGAATCGTATTGCCAAAAGTCGGGCTGCGACCTGGCCCTACTTACGGCGTGTAAGAAGTTCCGGTCATCGGCTGGAGGCGGAGATGGGACGAGGAAGCGGGAGAGCAGCAGTGCCTTTCCGAAGGAGTGTGATTTCTCCTACAATGTGTGGGGTCAAGGGTTTCTGGCAGAGTCGGCGCGCCGCTACATGGAGGACATCGGCGTGCTGCACTCCACGACCATGCTAACGACCCAAAAGCACATACGCCAGGCGGGGAGACCGGGAGGAACCAAACTGGTGGTTGACCTAACCTCTGACCCCGGAAACAGGGGGGTGAGTGACCTGCTTATGCTGCATACTTCACTGTGACATTTTCAAAAAAAGTTCCCATTCATACCATCTTTATTGTTGTTACAGAGCTCTACAGGCGACGGCGTGGTGGGCGGAGTCAGTCCCAATAACAGACTGTACTCCCAAAGCTACCCATCAATCTACAGCTCAGGACCTGTGAGCGGCCAGGGTGGTGTGCAGAACGGCAACGGAGAGGTGGAACAGGAGAAGTGTGCCCTGGAAGCCGTGGAGGGCAGACAAAGGTCTGGGATTGTGGACTTGGAAGAAGAGTGTGAGGATGAGGAGGAAGAGGAGGAGGAGGAGGAGGACATGGATGAGAGGAGACCCTATGGGAATGAAAGTGCTGGTGAGGAGCGACCCAGTTAATCTGTCTTCCTAAATGCTCGGATGTGCATCCATTATAAGGGATTTCTCCTTGTTTGGCTTCAGGTGTCTTCTCCATGGATGAGGACTCTCTGTCTCGGGACTGCGAGCCGTTCTTTGAGTCCGACGGGGAGGAGGAGAGCACCGATGGTAGGAGTTTAGCATGCTGACTTGAGAGAAGTCACGTACGTGCACACATTAGATCCACATTAGTGCATCATCCACATGCATTTTTCTACCTGTCCTAGGCTCTCTGAGCGAGGATGCTCCTCCGCCGACGCGTGGCATGGCTATGAGTCAGGCTTCATTCTCGTCCCGTCACGCCAACGCCATGGCTCTGGCCCGCTCGCTGCCCGTGTCGGTGCCGGTATGGGGCTGCAGAGGATCCAGAGCTCAAGGAGAAGGCAACAGTGGAGAACGGGTGAGCGCACACGAGGAGGACAGAGCCGCTGGTTTGAATGCCGAGATTAAAATGTTCAGGGGGATTAGTGGGTTAGCCAGCTGTCTTTGGGCTGAAGCTTGATCACATGAAGCTGGATGAAGCTGCCTTACTTTGAACAGGGGTCGATCAATGGTCACCTATTCTGCTTCGGAGCAGGATCTTACAAGAAGTCATCAGCACATTTCATAACTATTTATTTTTTATAGTCCCCGTGTTTTTGTCCTCCAGATGGGCGTTGCTGACCTGGAGCACATCGCTGCCAGTATGAAGGCCCTGCTGGCCCCCGGAGCCAGTGACGGGACTGAAATGTTTGGGGCCCTGCCTCGGCCCCGACTCAACACAGGGGACTTCTCCCTCAAGCACTGAGAGAGAGAGTGAGGCCAATGGAGAGATGGAGAAAGGGATAGAGGGAGAGATACAGGTCGTCATGATGGAAGGAGAGATTGGATGGCAGGATGTGAAACGGTGTTAAACCTAGTTGCTCCGTTTATTTCCCTCTAACCAAAATTAACGGCACTTGCTGAAGAAATGTTGTGAACACTAACATTTTCAACACTATACCCCCCCTCCCACCTTGTCACTACACATGCCACAGCTTCTTCACATCCCACAACACTACATTAGGATTGGACATCAGGAAGTGTGTGTATTGCCCCACAGCACTGACCAACAAGGGCACTAAAACGGTGAATAGTAGTCTAACTGGCCACTTGTTAATTGTTACGCACATGGTGTGCTGATAAAGGTTTTGGAGAGTTTGCCCTGTGTGGAAGTGATGAGAGTTTGGGGAGCAGCCATCTGTGCCCAGCTGATTGTTAGCTCCAGTGCTACATGCTAACGCTTCAGCAGCATTATGAGTAGTAGCTAAATGCTACGTTACCTTATACGATATATATGTGGCTAAGAGGGCAGTTTAGTCACTCTTTTGAAACATGACTTAATTCAAAGAAACAGTTTTAAAAAATTCTCTAGAATGCGAGAAGCTAGACCTGGGAGCTAGCTTAGCATAGACCGAAAGCAAAGGGAAACATCTAGATTGGCCTGCCAACACCTCTAAAGCTGACTAATAATCACGTTACACCACTTTTTGGTACACAAGTAGGAGTGTAAACTAATAAGTTACGTCTCCTAACTATTATTTGACAACCAACAGCTTTTCCATCCCCTCACTGCTGCATGGTTTACAAACCGAGAAGAGCCAGTGTGTCGTTTGCCAAAAAACTACCCCTTAAAATTGATACTTTTACATTTCTGCTTGCGTAGATAGTGAACTTTGAAAGTGTTGGTAGTATTTTTGAACTTCAGAGAGAGCCATGCTAGCGGTTTTCCCTGCTGCCTGTCTTTATGCTAAGCTAAGCTGAGCGTCTTGCCAACTCATTTAGCAGTGTTTGCTGAAGTTTTAGCATTAGCACAGGAGTCAGTGATTTCCCCCCCCCCCCCCACCCACCCACAGGGTCACATGGGCATCTCTCCTGCATGCTCTGATCATTTACTGGGGAAATTGATCAACAAGCCAGTTGTTTGTTTTCCATCCCCCACAAAAAACACCCCAATCTATTCCTTAAAGATTAGGAACCAGAGAAATGGTAGACATAACATGAAGCTTGTGGCTTTTCAACATGCGAGTGGAGGACACCGGCACCTCCTCATAACGCGCATACTTGGAGTTTTACTTTTGCCAATGAATGACTGATAGAATGATTGTAAAACAACACTGAGTTAAAGGTTGTTCTTTTCTGTTGCTCCAGATGTCTTGTTAAAATGACTGAATGAGAAAGTTACTGTATGAGAGAGAGAGAGTGATGGGTTGATTTTAAAGAAACAAAAAGGTCCATCTCTGACATTTTCGAAACAAATAAATGTTCCGTTAAGTACTTTTCTGTTTCAAATAAAAGGAGCAAGAGAAAGAGACTTGTCTTTGTGTATTTGTGTGTGAGGATGCGATGCTATTAAAGGCCTCTAGAGGGCCTCAGCACTCTGCTGAAGTGAAGGAAAGGAGTCGATGTCTGATTTAGTGTATCATGCAAAAAATAATGCAATGCCAGAGTTATTACATAAGTTTAATTTATTGACGACATTAAGCGCATTAAAAAAATAAGCACTCCAGTACATGCGATTTACAAAATCATACAATACCTAAAACTAAGTTAAATAAAATACATGAATACATACAGAATAGTAAATAAAATAGGTAGCCATCTTTGTTTACAATATGAGATTAATAAGCTTTCTTCATGCAACCAGAGAAAGCAAATGTCACAACGTGCTTCAGTTCTGCTGTATAACTACAACCTTTGTTCCCCAAACATCACAAGATCTGCATCTCCCTCCTGACACCTCATAGATTCACACTATTAACCTTCATGCTCGACTCTTAACTGCGTCACTGATCCTTTTTCCGAAGAAGGCAGAACGAATTTGTGCCAACCCAGAACGCGGGGAAAACCTTCTCCTGAATGTTGGCTTTGAACTTGTGAATCAGCTGCACCTCCTCTCCCTCCACCGTGAGGAGCTTTATGATGCCGGCGGGCTGGTCCACGTAGACGCCCATAGCGGAGGCCATGGGGAGCTGGACGTCCACGTTGTCGCTGTTGTGCCAGACCTGGAAGCAGGAACCAGACCAGCCGGCGCCCCAGGAGCTGTTGTTCTCCCCAATGCCGCAGGCTCCTCGGGCGTCCTGGCTCTTCCGAGGAGCGCTCTCTAAGACCACCCCGATCACCACCCAGCCGTCGTAGTCCACCTCCCAGTACCCTCGATAGCCCATCAGACTCTCCTTACACAGCACCTGAAGAAGGGAGGAGGCACACAGCAGGGAATCAGGCGAGCTGCAGTCCGAAGCTAAAGGGGACATAGAGGTAGAGTTCACAGTTCAACCCACAAACTGCAATAAGACAACCCAGTCAGTTTTGGGCTGCCTAGATCAAACAACGTGATTAAACAAGCCAGTCAGAGCAGACTGGGCTTAAAGGTCTTAAAGAGACAGGTGCTCAAACGGAGCGTCTCAGACAGATGGTGAAAACGGGTGCATTCAGACAGACAGTTAAAGAAAAGTAAAGAGTTTTTTGAATATCAAAGCATGTAAACATGTTTTAGTAGAAACCCAAAATACAAGTATAAACCTGAAAATGACAAAGATATGTCCCCTTTAAAAGAAACAAGTCCCTAGTTGATTTATCGATATTACTAAATCCACGTGAAATTAATCTGCACCTATTTTGATAATGGATTCTTAATTTTTCAAAGATTCCCCGGTACAGTCTTCTAAAAGGGCTTTTCCTCGTCATATATGACTGTAAACTCATTAGATCTGTTTTTTAGACAAAAAGAGTTTAACACTCAAAGTCTTAGAGATGTGTTACCTAAGTATACTTACCTGTGGTGAGTGTTCATATCTCTCAGGCCTGTTGGGATACGGGCAGACGTCATCAGACGTGCGGGCCACCTTGGACCCGCCCTCTGAAATCCACAACAGCTTCTGTGCAGTTTTATCATCCAGAGAGAGCGGGAGCCAATCTGAGAGAAGGATACGGGAAAGAAGAAGAGGCACTTCACAGAAGCTTGTTGTATTCTTTTCCAAAAATTTGTTTCAGCACAAAATCTTTCACTTCCTATGGAAAGAGCTTTTGTCATCTTATTATCATAGACTTGTCCACTGTTTCATTTGATTTGGTAATGAATAGATATATTGAAAATGATATACATTTGCATCGGCTTATTAAATTCATGTTTAAATTACCCAGGAAACAAAAGTGATATTACATTTACTGGTAAATGTGTAAATAAAAGATTCAACTTAATTTATTCCGTCTTAAAACGAGGAATTGTTGCCTTACAAATATTTACTTACTAAATAGTTTTAATTACTTTTGTCTCTTTACACACTGAAGAGTCAACACTCCAGTTTACATTAATTAATTAATTAATTAATGTTTGGCATTAATTAACAAAACTGGTTTCTTTTCAATTCTTTCACAAGATGTTTAAATGCTCCTAAACAATAAGAAATACCACACATTTCATGAAGTCAGCCCTGGTGGTGGGTTCAGGGACATTTGGCTCATATGGAGGCGGCAGCTTCTCTGAGGTGACAGACAGAGAACGAGAGAATTAGAAGGAAATACTTCATGGACGAGTGGAAAGTCACATTTACATGAAACGAATGGTTCTCTTCATCTTTAACAGCAAAGATGCTCTTTACCTTCTGCTGCACTGCTGTTTTTTCTTCCTGCGAAAGAAAAAAGAAAAGTGTCATTTCGCTGCAATTATGTGAAGAGACAAAGAGATCCTATATATATATAGTATATATGGATACTATATGCTATATATCATTTATTAATGCAGGACTTTTAATTGTAATGGGGGATTTTTGGAGTATGGTATTTCATTTTTTACTTCATCAATCAAACTTCATTTGTGGTTAGTGCAGTTCAAAGTGCTTCAGAGATGACTCACAAGTCGAAAATAAAACAAAATCAAGTCAGTAATTTCACATTTTGACAATTTGAGAACAAAGCATTTACATGAGACCATAAAATTACAGAATTTAATAAAATAACATAAAAGCTATGACAGTAATATTAGTAAAACAATGTGAAATAAAAAATAAATGAATGAAATATCAATAAAATATTATACAACTTAAATACAACACAATAAGTGAATAAAATAATTTCTTTATCAAAGGCCCAAGTAAAGGATCTGAATACTTCTTCAACCACTGTGTGTGTGTGTGTATATATACTGTATATATTTTATGGCCTTATAGGAACTCGTTTACACACATTTGTTAATACACAACACTTTTTAAGGTTGCACCAACCATGGCCGTCAGCAACTTAAGAGCTTCTCATCTTTCCCCGTAGCCTCTCCCTCTATCAACGCTTCCGTCAGGCTGCCATTCATTGACAGTAAATCCCCTTCTACTCTCAACATACAGTAGATCAGTGGAGCAGTGTGTGTGCTCTGTCGGCTCAGCACTGATTCATGAAGTTTTAGGTTTCAACATTAGGAATCTGGAGGCCACATCTGAGAAGGACACACATCATGGCCACTGACAGCAGGGAGTCTTATTCTAAGAACATCTCTGTATGATGCCGTTACTTCACACCGCCGAGGGGGCCTGTTTGTCATGTTGTGGGCTGGTATTACAATTTGGTGTTTGTCTGTTCCTCCTCCAGTTCACTGTGTCTTTTAACATTCGGAGAAAACTGTGATCCAATACTGGCCGGTCAGGTCATCATCTGTCCCCCCCCTCAGCGCAAATAAGTCATCCTTGCTAAAGTTACTCTTTCTCACATTTCACACAGATAACCAACTCATCGCTCATACTGTTACATCACCACCTAAGCTTATTTACTGTGTCCTTTGCTATTGCCAAAATTAGACAGAACAGCTTCAATTTTCCTGATTCCATATAAGGACGCTTCAAAGTGTGATTTTCATACCGATCATGGCCGTGTAGCAAATGCATTAGTGGGCCTGAGGACAGGCTTTCTACACTTATTATAAGACGTATTACAACCACTAGTTTTTAAAAATAGCATTTTCCCACCGAGTTTGAGAATATCACAAGTATATATTCTGTGTCAGCTTGTTCCACTTATTGAAAATATGTGTCGATTAAATTGAGAGAAATATTTAAACCCAACATGGCATGTTTTTATGGCTTCATCATACCAGCAAATGGAAAAATTCGACTTTATCTTGTTTCTTTTATACGCTTTTCCCTTTAATTCAGTTGGACGTATTGATATCTTTGAGAACTCTATTAAAGGGACACTGTGTACGATTTGGTGCCATCTAGTTGTGTGGTTGCAGATTGCAACCGACTGAACACTCCACTGCTCACTCCTCCCTTTCCAAGACTGCGGTAACATGAGCTGCCGAGCGCGAAACCGCGATAACGCCATTGGCCTTGCTCAGAGGCCATTCAAACCAAAATAAAACTATTTACGGGCAATAGAGCGGCTGACGGTATGACGGTTTTTCACTCTGCAGCTCACGTTACCGCAGTTTCACAAGCGTGTTGGAGAACTTCGGTGTCTTCAGGTAACGCAAGAACGTTAGAGGCTCTCTCTAGAACCAGTGTTTGGTTTGTCCATTCTGAGCTACTGTAGAAACATGGCGGCCGACTCCGTCCCCACATAGATATGAACAAATGAAAACACGATTCTTAGTTTCAGGTTATTATACACTGATGAAAACTGAGTTATGAATGTTACATTCCATTTCTGCTGATAGATCCCCTAAATTCTACACACTGGCTTTTAAAACGTAAAAAGATTTGTGGGTTTGAACAATGCTTGTTTTTCTGCTGGTGAAATGCTGGAGTGCCAGACTTATGGTTGTTCTTTGCAATAAAATACCATCAGATAAAGCTTCCTCTCAGGAACTTGGAAAGAAGCTACAGTCACAGTTTCACAGTGAAATGCCATGTTATTTTACAGTAGTAGTCAAAGCAGAGCAGTTATATGTTGCAGTCATCAATAAGTCTATTAACGTCTTGAAATATGTATAGCAAACAAAAGGGAACTAGATAGATATTAGATATGAATTTACTTAGCTTACTTTCTTATACACTAAAAGACATCTCTGTCTGATTACACTGAACACACCGCAGTAACTTAAAAGCTTTAGAAGGAAGCCAAGTCTGTGTTGATACGCTCACTCCATTTCGCTCACAGCGGTGCCGCTGAACATGTGCCTGAAGAGGAGAGTCAGCTCTTTCAGGTGGGATGATTTATCCCGCAACATGTGTGAGCCCGAGGAAACATAATCCAACCTTCCGTAACCCTCAGCTGGGGACGCCAGCCGCATAGCAATCAGGAGGACAGACTGGAGGCTGGTACAACACATCTGCAGTGGTTGGATGAGATCGAGTGGGTGCCGTTGCTTTCCCTGAATCGTGTTGGCCTGCGGTTCTTCTAAGTGTGGTTAATGTGTTGTGAGAGGGCCAACTTTAAAATGGTTGGCTTTTTAAAAGGCAGAGTTTCTTGGCTCCTCCTTTAAAGTCTAAATCACCATACTGTCATTACAAATCTAAGTATATGCAGAGACCATTATGCAAAACACCACTCCCTGCCACTAAAACCAGAAAATATGATAATTGATTGAGCATGCAGGATTATTAATTGGATCATACTGAGGCTTGCAGTCTAATTACAGAGCAGATTTGAGTTTGGACATTGTCCACATGTTCTTACTGACTTCAGCAGCAAGCCTGCTGGAGCACCGGCCATCTGACCAGCAGAGGAAGACACATTTGGCAGGACAGAGGGTGAAGATTATGTAGCACTTGCTGGACGCTGCTGGAGCAGAGAGATGCTGTTGACAGATCACTTCATTTGTCTCCCGTCCATAAAGGAACACAGCAGGTGAGACAGGATGAAAGAAAAGCCTTGCAGGAATAGTGCTGGGTTCACCCTGGCATTAAGAGGAATTACTGAGGATAGATTAGGAGATGGATGTATAATATATCGATCTTCAAATGTATAAGATGTTTCTGGCTTCTGTCTGAGGGGAACGAGGCGGTCACCATGACCTCGGGTTAACTTGGATTGAGATATCAGGCTGGCAGGAGGTTTGGTGGATGATTGGAGACAGGCCAGCTCTGTGTGCTGCTCTGAGGAGGTTAAGCCCCGGCGGATGCCTGTCCACGCTCAGCGGGATCAACAGGAAAGCCCCGCGGAGATAAACGGATAGTCAAAAAGATTGATGACTTAACATCACAGCAATAGAGAGGCGGAGGAGATGGAGTGCAATGCAAGCGTGAGGTGTGAGGCATTGAAATATTTAAGGGCCATAAAAAAACAAAAACGACACCTTCAGAATCAAGTCAGGGATAATGGATGATGAAGCTGTTGGGAGTTTGAACAGAAAAAGTAACCGAGTTGGATTAGTTTATAACTTCCAAAGATCTTAAGTGAGATGGGTTTTAGTAGGTTTCACACAAACGACGAGCACATGTTTAAAGAAGTGACCTTGCCAAAAGGTCAATTTTGGAACTTGATGAGGGCTGTTTGGTTTAGTTGGCGATTTTAGACCTTTTCCCTCCCCAGATCCCCCTCTCAGTGGGACAGAGCTACCGTATCTCTGCAGATCAGGTTCAAAACATTCCACTGAGACAGAAAGATCAGAAAATAGTGAGATACGGTGGAGGGAGAGTGATGAGCATATAGTTGGCGTGGGCCCCAGCTCATCCCTCCTGTCCAAGACTCCCTGGCTGAAAGCCCTGCACACATGGGAGGTGGAGATGGGAAGGAAATAAAACACAAGGAGGGACAGATGGATGAAGGATTCTTGGAAAAGGAATTCAAGAGGAAAGGTATTTAAAAAAAGAGCTGGTACAAAAACAAAAGGGACTGATTTAAAAAAATGTAAATCCTCCTAAGGTTTGAGTTATGGAAGCTATTATGGACCAGCAAACACCGAGGTTGGATTTGAAACATCCAGAAAGAAGCAGGAGAGGGACAATACCTGCCGGAGTGACAGAGCTGAGACAGGCGTGTCGATTCGGGAGAGAAACGAGAATGACAGACAGACAAGCTCTGAAATTGCTGATGAGGCAATGACTTTAAGGGGGAATTCGGAAAGAGACGGCACAAGCTCAGAAGTAACCATAACCGTCCCGTGCACCTTGTTGACACGACTAACGATCCAGAGAAAAATGCCAGAGTCCGAGGTGAGGTGCTGATTTACAGCGATGGTCAACATGAGGTAACTCAACAGCAAATTAACCTCATTTGAAGCATATGATGAAAACTGATAATAAAACACCACGACAAGCAATAAATAAGTTTTATCTGCTTGAATGGTGACACACTAAAAATGGCCAAAATAACACAATATGGTACGTCTCTGTAGTTATTGCACATTTATTGATCTTAATGGGAAATCTGGACATTTACAAATAGCGTTGCTTAAAAAGAGAGAAAAATAAAGAACCAAAAAAAACCAATTAAGATTTTGATTATGAAAACCTTCTAATGGTGCCAATAGTAAGAAATGAGTTATAATTTGCAAATGCATTTCAGTGCAGAAGAGCAGAAAAAACCCTCAGAAAGGCAATTACAATTAGAAACTGAGCTGTGGGTTTAAAGGCCACAAAAGCAAAGAAGCATGAATTTCAATGGTATCCTTCTAACCCAGTATAACAGATTTCACCTTCTCTATTTGCTAAGAAATACAACTGCAATGTACCCGTACTCTATTTGATGTATAGGAGATAAGGCTAATTGTAATATGGCTTCAATGATAAAAGACAAAGAGGTGATTATTTCACTCTCATGGTGTAATGGCCCTCACAGGTCCTGTAGAGACTGAGATGTCCAGGGTTTCTTACCTGCTTTCTTAGGCACAGGCATGATTCCCTTGATGCTCACAGTGCTGTTCAAATGGGGAGGTCTTGTGATAGTGGGGAGCTGCATCTCTGGAGGGTCTCTCTTATTGACTGCCAAATGGG